GAGCCTAGCTCAAAGAACCAGGTGACAGAGTTCAAAACCTATCTGCCCTTTATGCGCTCAACGTCGGTGGTGATATTAATAATAATAGCTTTATCCCAAACACTATGTGTGACACAGTATGGAATTCCCAGCATGCGGTCTTTCAAAAAAGTCACTCACAGAACAATATTTTCAGACAAAATGGTCATTGCGCTTGGATAATGTTACCGATAACTGCATTTAAGGCGATAATGTGAAACGACCAGCTAGTTCTTGGACTAGCGCCTGGTCCACAGTGGAGAATCACTAGAAATGCGTACGTAATTTTGTTGACAATGGTTCATTCTTCATGCGGAAGAATCTGCAGCTCAAGCCAAATATCCGAGGGATGGATATATGATGTACTTTCGCGCACCAAAAAGTCAACCTCCACATTACGTGTCATTTTTTATGCTTTTTCATTAACCAGAGGAACGGTGAGCCGAAAACGTTTTAAATATGTGCGCGAGCACACGGTACCTTTACAGGATATATTTAAGTGATTGAAGCAAACTGAAAAGAAAAATCTGATAGATATGCACTCCGTCTGGTGGCCCAAAGTTCAGACAGACCGCAGTAATGATGGCGGATGCTTACGTTATGTTTTGCTCGCTGCCATATGTTTGCGACTTTAATGGCTTGAAGAAATTCAACTACGCCTCGGGGTCCAGTGTCTCCCAAGAAGATATGCACGAACTGCAATGAGCGACTGTGGAAAATCTACTTCCACTTAGCGTAGTGGATCAAGAATACCACTGGTGAATGGCCATACCCAAAATTTCAATACACTATTCTTCTGGCGAAGATCACATAAGTTCTTTCACTAAAACTTTTGCTGCTATTAGCCTTTCCAATCATGCCTAAGTAGGGAGGATGATATCCTTAGTCCCCCACCAAACAATTTATGAGGCCTAGCGTGAGATATTTGGAAGAGTTTGTAGCTCATCTAAAACCTTATTCATGAGCTCCCCGGCTTCCATTTTCAGCATGACTTATTTTGTCGTTTTCCCGTTGTGAGTTATTAGCGTTTTCATTGAATGTCAATCCACACTTCATGCTTACAAAGGTGTTGGCTTGTGTTTTTCTCTTCTTCCTTTTTCTTACCGATTCTTATGCTGACTGAATGAAGCACCGCAGTCAAACCTAGGCACACTGTCGTACGCGCCCTCCTGCGATAACTTAGCTATAGACTCAAGAAGAAACCTGCAGGAAGCTGGTAACTTCAAATTTACAGCTTCGTTCTCCAACTTTCTTTTAAATTACACCTTTACGTCTGAGATTAAATATCAGTCGAATAAACAAAGAAAACCAAGAGTTTTTGAACTTATTTATGGGCTGTTACATTTTGTTCGACTGCACTAGTTCAGCACTAGCAGAATTCCTTGTTAATTTCATGTGTATAGCCTCTTAAATGGTGGCTGTCTGCAAAAATAGGGTTTTTCCGTTTTACGTTCGTGGATTGAATATTAAGCAGAGCTACTGATGAGATCAACAAGCCTTAAAAATCTTGTTCTGTACAAGCACCCGTTATCATACGTATTAGAGCAGATCAACGAAAGACCAAGGCAACCGGCAGAGAGTGAGGAAGTGGATCATGAATGATAGGGAGACGCTGTACCCTTCATCAGCCGTGTATTCAAAATGGTATCAAAAACGGACGCATCTAATAAAGAGTGTGGGCGTAGGCTCGCGGCATTCCACCTTTAAACTGAAGATCTGAATTCGAAAAATCTAACAGAATAGGGCAAGCAAAGCGGGGGTTAAGTGAGGAATGCGGGAGGAGTGTGCAAATATTAAGGCGGAGCAATAAAAAAGTTATGAGTCGGTGGTTGATGGCTCGCCATTTTTTTGTGGACCATGTGTGCGTACGTTCGTTCATCCGACTTTCGGTTGAAAACGATAGTGCTGATGTTCAAGTCACTGACTTTGACAACAATGGAATCATGATGTCATCCTGGCACATTAGAGGAAGGAATCAGTGCCAGCATGTACACACACTTTGGATGTGACCGAGACAGTAAGCGAGAAGGCGGATGCCTGATGTACTTCCTAAAGGCTCTTTGCATATCCTGATCAGATGTAGTGAATGGAGGGACTACCCCACCGCAGCTGATCTCGAACTAGCGTTAAGCATTCTATAATCCGCATAACTGCTTTGCTGTCAATGCCCCTTGGTGAAATCAACCAAGTCAACCTCAAACAAGTCCTTTAGTTGCCAGAAAACGCATCGAAAGCTGCGTCAGCCGTCGACAAAATACTTTAGGCACCTTGATTTTGATACACCACAGTCCTCTCTTAGTAGTCTTAATTCCATTACTCATTATCAAAAAGCGTGTGTGGAAAAAAATGGACCCATAGCACTTGCTGGCTCCTCTATAGTAAATGCACCAACAGAAACCCTAAGGAAGCGGAAAAACCAGCAGAACCATAACACTGGCTTCCTCATCCATGACAAAAATGTCCACAATAACCCAAAGGAAGATGCGAGTTATTCAGCAGTGTGTTTACTTCTGGCTGTCTGCCGCCAGAAGACTTCTTCAGTGATACAAACCCAGTGTGAAGCATCGACCATCCTTCGCTCCATACAGTGGAACCTGTTTGCACCACTGGGTTCTCTTGCGCTAACATTAATCAAGCTGTCAGGACACTCAAAAGCCCCAAAAGCCCAGGTATAGATGGGAAAGCATCATATTTCTCCAAACCCCGTGGCCCTGACATTTCACTATTGTTGATTAAACTCTACTCCATCTCTCTGGAAACTTCTACATACCCCGACTTTTGGGAGACATGTTTCATCTTACCCAAACACAGGTGAGGTCAACAACTACCGGACAATAAATATTACAGTGGTTACTCCCGGAAGTGTGAGGAAAATGGTTAAAATAAACGTTCTGCAGTGCATTCTAGAAAACGGAGTAATCACTTTTAGTCAGCATGGGTTCCTGAAATCATATTCTTGCATGACTTGTCACTTCGACTTCTTTAGCTGCATAGCCACTAGCCATGACTGACGCTTATTGGTCCTGGTTTTCTACCTTAACATCTACAAAGCATTTGACTGCGTTGATCACTCTCCGCTAATGAGAGGTCGTAAAGCCCACAAAATAAAATGCTCTTTCCTGTGTTAGATAGGGCCCTCCCTTAGCAACCGTTTGGAAGTATTGGGAATCGGGTCCCACCTTTCGAAGCATATAACCACTGCATCTGGTTTCATCCAGGGTGTAGCTTTTTCCCACACGGCAAACTGTTTCTGTTTGCCAATGACCTTAAGTTAGTCTACACATTCCCTGTTGATGCATCAAACTACTTTCAAATATTTGCACAGAAAAACCAGGCCAGGTAATCAACCGCTCCATTATATGGAAGCTTCTCTTCAGCATAGACAAATGTGGCTGGATATACTCCGGTACACCCACCGTTAACCGAAAAATTAAGTTTGTAGTCTATGAAGCTGACTAGCCTCAAAAGTGTCGTCGACTTGGGTCTAGGGTATTCTTCTGACTTGAACATGTTGCAACTCAGACCCAAAAGTCAAGGATTCTTTTGGGCTGCGTAATTCATAACGTCTGCAGGCATGAAATAGAACTCCTGCTCTACAAGACTTGTGTGACATCAATGGTGGAACACTGCTCATTCACCCTGAGTAGTTCCCGTATAAGTGACAAATTTAGGGTATTCCATATCTAGCATACTCGGACACGAATATGAACAGAATGCCATTTTCACATGTATATCTCCTAGGTTTCAACTACTCTAGGTGAGATAAGTGGAGACAAAACTTGTTTTCTCCCCCAAGATTCTGCATGAAATGTAATTTTAATCGAGTCAACAACTTCACTTCTCACAACCAGGTTGCTATGACTTAAGTAACCAAGCAAAAAAGCTGAAATATGGTCTTTTAAGACATCTCTGCATGTTGACTTCTTTTCCACTAAATTCTTCCATATATGCAATCAACTCCCCGTCAAAAAAAGAACCTTCAGCTCACCGATTCAGCCTGGCCATTTGCTGAACGAGTCCTTGACTTCCAGCAGTCTGGTAAACATAATACGTCCAACACAACTACGTTTCATTCCACTCAATATAATAGGTCTCCTAAATGATTAGATGGTTGAAAGTGTTCAGTGACCACTAGACCTACTCATCTTTTCTTCTAGATAAAATCCTGGTACTTCAGGGGGTGCACCTAGTGACGTAGTAAAAGTTGCCTCGTTAAAACATCCCCAACACTACAATCAGCTTAAAGTAGGCCCCGCTAAGCATATAAGGATTTAAAAAGCCTCTTGGTGACCTTTTAATTATTGGATAAGTCGAAACAACAAACATACAAAATGCATAATACAACTTCCAAGTCTTACGGATATGTAATGCACCCTCCTGGCACCAAAATATAACTAGGGCTAAAATAAATAGTTTAAATTAAATTAACTAAATAAATCTCTAGCTTGCCTCCGGATGCTTAGGGTGTTTTAAGTTTTGTTTTAACGAGCATGCATCCGAGCAGGCTTGGACGCCATTTTTGCGCTCCATTGTGCTGATCACCACGCACGTACTCCGAGTCCCTAGTTCAGCCTTACAAGCCAGATAAGTTGATTAAACTTTTCCCTCATTCATTATTATTACATTTACCTTAAATACATAGCTCCTTTAAATACATTGCGTATCAGTTCTTTTGATTTGTGTTTTGTTACCAGTACTTACACGTTAGGTAAAGTACTGGTTAAGCAGGTACTAGAGCACATCAAATTAAGTAGGGTTGATCAAACGTTACGGAATTGTAACACGCATCCCTACAAAAATTGGTGAGCCCGAGTATCACTTCTTACTTTGTCTAGTACCTTTGTTCTCTTGCGTTGATTTGTCTGGCCTATTTTTGTTTTTGGCACGTCTAGCGTTTTTTTTATTATTGCACTCCTCATTGGTTATTTTTGCATTGTAATTTTTTTTATTATCACTATCGTGCCTCGTTAATTCCCTGATCAATGGCGGATAACGACTCGACTGCGCAGATGGCCGTAACCCTCCAGCTTCCCACCTTCTGGGCCCACAGACCATCTGCATGGTTCTCCCATGTGGAAGCTCAGTTTGCCTTGAGACACATTCAATCACAAGAAACTAAGTCCAACTTAGTCATCGTCAGCTTACCGGAAAATGTGATTGAAGACGTCTCAGATGTGCTAGATGACCCAGCACCGAATCTTTACGATCGCCTCAAAACCGCCCTCATCAAACGTGTTGCACTTACTGACCAGCAGAAAGTGCAAGAACTTTTCAGGGATGTGCATCTGGGTGATCGCAAGCCGACGCAACTGCTTCGTCAGATGAAGCAGCTGATTGCTGACTTCAACATTGATGAAGCATTTCTCAAGCAACTGTGGTTACAGAGGTTACCACAGTCGGTTCAAGGGATCCTCGCACCCTTCCATAAGTGTCCCTTAATAGAGTTGGCGGAAGCGGCTGACAGAGCTGTGGATGCTACGAAACCCAACACTAGTATCTCAGCTGCACTGTCTACTGCCACGGATTCGTCCAAAACCCACATCCTCCCTCGGCTGTTGAGCCAACAAGTTTCGATGTTATAACTCACATCTCAAAATTGTATGAGGAGTTGTGCAGCATCAGGAACGAAATGCGGTCTGGTAGTTCTTACAACGGTCGCACGTCTCGCTCGCGCAACAGGTCTGCCTCCCGTACCGGTAGCAGACGTTCCAAATCGCGACAATCCCAACCCAGGTTGTGCTGGTACCATAAACGTTATGGTGCCAATGCCAAAAGGTGCACTCGACCTTGCACCTTCGAGGCTAACCAGGCGGGAAACGTGTGAGCCAGCACGTGACGGCGACTAACGTCGCTGGCGAGCCACTTCCATGTCGCCTCTTCTTCGTCACTGATCGACATTCTGGGATACGCTTCCTAGTTGACACTGGGGCAGAAGCTAGCGTCATCCCACCTACGAAGGAAGAGCGTCTGCGGCCAATGTCTCTGCAACTTCGTGCCGCCAACGGTTCGCCCATCACAACCTATGGTCGGAGATTCCTCGATCTCAACCTTGGATTGCGTCGTCCCTTTCGTTGGGTTTTCATAGTGGCAGATGTGACCACCGGCATTATTGGTATGGATCTCTTGCAGCACTATCAGCTGCTGGTAGATGCTGGCAAGCATAAGTTGATAGATTCTACCACAACACTCTCTGTTTCCGGTATAGTCACAAAGACGCCGCCCCTCAGTCCCGTGTACTGCACGACGGACGCTTCTAGTCCCTACGCGTCTATCATTCAGTCCTTTCCGGATGTCTTTAAGCCAAGTCGTTGTGTCCCTTGTGTGACTTCGAACGTTTCTCATCACATAACGACGACTGGCCCGCCAGTGTTTGCGAAACCACGGCGATTATCCCCGGAGAAACTGCGTGCTGTAAAAGCCGAGTTCGAACACATGCTTGAAATGGGAATAATCAGACCATCCAACAGTCCATGGTCTTCACCCTTGCATGTGGTACCCAAGAACAATGGCATGGACTGGAGGCCTTGTGGTGACTACCGAAGGCTCAACGCTAAAACGATTCCAGATCGTTACCCAGTCCCTCACATTCACGACTTGACTGCATCTTTAAAAGGCTCGGTTATCTTCAGTAAGCTTGACTTGACGCGTGCATATCATCAGATCCCGGTTCATCCTGATGATGTTCCCAAGACAGCCGTCATTACACCGTTTGGTCTTTTTGAGTTCCTCCGTATGCCTTTTGGTCTTCGCAATGCAGCACAAACCTTCCAACGTTTTATTCACGATGTTTTACGTGGACTCGATTTCGCCTATGCCTACCTAGACGATATACTAATCGCTAGTCCAGACGAAGACACTCATTTTAACCACTTGAAACAGGTTTTCGCCAGACTGTCAGAGCATTCGATGACAGTCAACCTGGCCAAATGCCAAATTGGCGTTCGTTCACTAAAATTTTTGGGACACGTTATCGACGAGCAAGGCATTCGCCCACTACCTGAAAAGGTACAGGCGATCCAAGACTTCCCAGTCCCAGCGTCACTTAAAGCTCTGCGTGTGTTTCTGGGTATGGTGAGCTATTATCGTCGCTTCGTTCCCCAATGTGCACACATTTTGACTGCACTGACCGACCTGCTGAAAAGTAAATGTAAAACTTTCAGCTTGACTCCGGAGGCACTAGAAGCATTTCGCAAGATCAAAACCGCAATAGCAGACGCCACGATGCTGGTGCATCAAGACGTAAACCTACCTTTTAGCATTGCGGTTGACGCCTCTAACACGGCCATTGGAGCTGTGTTGCAACAACTTTCGGATCACACTTGGATCCCAGTTGCATTCTTCTCCCGGAAGTTATCCACCTGCGAAATGCGGTACAGCACTTTCGGCAGGGAACTGCTCGCCATATATGCCTCAGTGAAACATTTTCGTCATTTTGTGGAAGGTCGTGACTTCATCATCTTTACCGACCATAAACCTCTGACGTATGCCTTACACACCACTACTGACAGATATTCACCGCGTGAATTACGTCACCTAGATTATATTTCGCAATTCACGTCGGACATCCGTCATATTTCTGGTGTGAATAACCCTGTCGCGGACGCACTGTCTCGCGTTTGCACCACTACTTTGCCTCGAGCAGTCGACTTACGGAAGATTGCCGAACTTCAGGATTCAGACGAGGAGATTGAAAAACTTCAACACTCATCCTCTCTGAAGATACAGCGTCTACCGCTCCTGAACAGTGAAGTGTCAATATTGTGCGACACCTCCACAGGCACACCCAGACCCTTGCCGCCGGACTCCCAAACAGACTCGTTTAGTCGCGCGTATCCTGAACCTTCTAAAAGAGCCACGTCTAGTAACACTGATCCAGTAACCTCTACACGTGCTGGGAGGCGTGTACATTGGCCCAAGCGATACGCCGAGTTCGTTAATTAGCCCCAGAGCAACTTCACACTTGGTGAATTCGGAGTTTCAACTACTTTGTCGTGGCATACACTTTCAATGCGTTTTCATACCTAAAGTTTTCAAAAGTCATGTTTACTACTTTGCAAACAGTTTTTTTTTCAAAAAAAAAGAAAACCAAAAATACAATTTAAATTCCGAAAACTTTTTTTTGGTTGGTTATTATTTTTTTTCTGTACTCCTCCCACTTCGAATTGTTTGGTTTTTCTTTTCTTAGCACTCTAATGTCCCATTTCTTTCTTCTTGCAGAACCTAGAAAATGCGTTGAAAATTGGATACAATTGGCCGCTGACGATGCTACTTGGATCGTTCTTCGGTTCTCTTTGTACCAATTTCCCCCTGTACACTCCCCGGTAGATTAAGAAGCAATAGGGAAAAGTAGACGGAGGCTTTGGGTCACCTTCCACCACTGCGAGAAGGGTTGCGTCTAGACGCAAAGTTATCTTACCTCGTAGGTGTGCATAGTTGCACTAGCTTCGGAGACCCACACGTCACCTACTCCATCACCAATATGGAAAGGTGTTGCGTGTCCGCCTCGCAGTCGCCTCCTAGGATCGAAGGTTGCCGGTATCCCAACAACCTTCTAGGAGGGGGATAACCTGTAGTGCACCTTCCTGGCACCAAAATATAACTAGGGCTAAAATAAATAGTTTAAATTAAATTAACTAAATAAATCTCTAGCTTGCCTCCGGATGCTTAGGGTGTTTTAAGTTTTGTTTTAACGAGCATGCATCCGAGCAGGCTTGGACGCCATTTTTGCGCTCCATTGTGCTGATCACCACGCACGTACTCCGAGTCCCTAGTTCAGCCTTACAAGCCAGATAAGTTGATTAAACTTTTCCCTCATTCATTATTATTACATTTACCTTAAATACATAGCTCCTTTAAATACATTGCGTATCAGTTCTTTTGATTTGTGTTTTGTTACCAGTACTTACACGTTAGGTAAAGTACTGGTTAAGCAGGTACTAGAGCACATCAAATTAAGTAGGGTTGATCAAACGTTACGGAATTGTAACACGCATCCCTACAGATACATTTATATAGTCCTAGGGAACCCCTTCCGTAATACTGCAGAGACTTTCTCACAAATTCTCACTCCATACTGTTGGCACACACTTCTTCCTACCCAACATAGTAAACACAGATAAAGGTCCTAAATTACATAAAAGCATGAAAGTCATGTTCTTAAGTGTTTAGTAGACAAAACATGTACAAATGACTTCACAGCAAAGACAGTTAAGTAAGGAGAAAAATGGAAATCGGAAACAAACTCCTTGTTGGGATTCTTTCTTTCCTCCATCTGCTGCTTTGTTATTATTTTTTGTTGTAGAAAAACGATTTAGTTCTAAATGGTGACCAGGATGTAATTGAAAAGTTTTTAAAATAACAAAACTTGGCTGAAACTAACTGTAGCAGCCAGAATCCAATAATCTTGGCCTGAACGCGGGAGATAACTAGACGGTGTCAACCGACGTGAATCTGACTAGTTCCTGCGTTCTACTGTATAGCTTCCGAACTTCCGCGAGTGACGCACAGTCAAAGGTTGGATCAAAATATCAAAACACGGTTTGTAGTAATTCAGCAGTAAATTCGTAACAAAATCTGTGGTACTGTCAAAGCAGTAATAAGTTATGTCAAAATTACGAAAATACCTCAACAGCACCGTTGGATGACTATACAGCCCAAAACGTTCTCGGGTGTAAATACGTACTACACGGTAAAAACTGGTTAAACAAATACAACTGTTAAGTACCTGACAGTCAATAAGAATATTCCCGACAAAAGGGATGAAAACTCTGTCTACCAGAATCAAATCAACAAACAAACGTTCCCAGTAGACAGTCAAAAGACAGACGGTCAAATCACTGCACAACCGTAAGTTGAACCAAAACAAAATGTCGGGCGCAGTAAAACAACATCAGCTTGCCAACAACAGGAAAGTGGAACATTTATAATAAGTCTGAAACGTACAAAGGCGAATACCGAGTGCAAAGTCAAATAAGACAGTTAAACAAGCAAATAACATTACACCGGCTAGGGTCAAAGGTACACCATCCATAACGAGGGTAAAAATATTAAAATAAATGTCAATACAATCAAATAAGGGCGATCGGGAGGGATTTTCAGATCAATTTTCCGTTACACTAACCTCTTTGGTCGGCGTGTTATCACGATCAGAAATGCATCATGTTCTTCGGATTACAACTTCATCATTATCAAAACCTGGGATTTATTGATTATAAAAGTGACTAAGTGAGTGTCACAATTACCAACCACAAAGTTGTCATGACCTGCAAGAATGACGAACAAGGTGTTCCGGACATCCACTTGGTACGTTCAAACAAACTTACTGCATTTCGATACTGTAGTTGACAATTGTAGATATTTGACTTGCAGTCATAATAATCAGCAAGATTATGAATCTTCGAAGTAAACTGTTGTGAGAATACACGGAAGTCCACAGTTTTGCAACTACTAAACAGTAATAAAAAACAAACAACATGCGTATATTCAGGATGTTTTCATCATTATTTTTATGCAAAATATATGAGATGTCACAATGGAAGTATTGACTTCAGGATTTTTTTCGCCAGACAATACGTGTAATGAT